GGCAAATCATAGCTGACCAACTTGACTGCCTTCTGTCGTGAGATGACCTTCGAGGACAAAGGGAGAGCAGTGGATGTTGTTAACCTTTGCTTTGACATGGCCTCCTGTAGTATCCTGCTAGCCAAATTGGTGAGATGCAAACTGGACTGTAAGGCTTACAGTGGACTGTAAGAAGGGTGGAAAACTAGCTGAACTGTCAGGTTCAGGGTGCTGATCAGAAGTACAACGTTCAACTGGCAGCTGTTACCAGCAGTGCCCCTCAGGGATCGATAATGGGGCAAGTACAGTTCAGCATCTTATTGATGACGTGGGTGACAGGACAGAGTACACTTGCAGCAAGTTCGTGGACAACACCAAATGATGGGGCAGGTCGATGTGCCAGAGCACAGCGCTGCTGTTCAGAGGGACCTTGGCAGGCTGAGGAAATGAGCCGTCAGGAACCTCCCAGAATTCAGCCTAGGCAAATGCCAAGTCCTGCCCCAAGCTGGAGTAACCCCCTGCCACAGGCCAGGCTGCAGCCGACCAGCTGCTGTGGGACAGCTCTGCCGCAAGGGACCTGGGGGTCCCGTTGGACAACAAATTGAACGGGAGTAAGCAGCGAGCCCTTGCTGCAGAGAAGCCACCGCCTGCTGGGCTGTCTTAGCAAGAGTGGGTGAATACAGGAACAGGGGCCCAGCGAGGTTATGGGACCTCCCTGGCAATACTCAGGGCTCAACTGGACAAGGACCTGTGCAGTCTGATCCGGCTGACCCTGCTGTGAGTGAAGAGTTGGCACAGAGACCTCTAGAGGTCCCTCCACCTTAAAAATATTCTGTTGTTCTACGATCCTACAATTTTCTTGGAGAGTTTACAGATAAATAATTCAGAATTCCTATTTTTTTCCACCCCTTAAATTCTAGTAATGAACATAGTGGAAGAAAAAATGATGAGGTAATATGAACTGTGTGCGTTAAAATGATTTCTCTATTCTGTGTGTACCTTAGAACATGCATTGAGCGACGCTGAGTCGCTGCATTATTGCTACACAACATAATATGCTGTTACTGTTGTGCTGCAGTCAATCCAGTGTAATTCTGTAGTTTTCGTGGTCCTCTAGAAGATGATGTTTGTCAAAAATAACCTATTACTTAAAGTAAAATAAAGCAAAATCACCCCTTGCGTTGCACTTGAAAGACTTGCAAGAGGTCAAATGTGATGCAGAAAGAAATGTGCACAGCTTTCAGGGAGGTTATCCAAAAAGGTTTTTGCGTATATTCAAGGATAGTATTTTATCCATTTTATTAAACGTAATAGAGAGCTTCGAACTCGGTAATCCTCCGATGGCATGTCAGTCTCTGAACTTGCTGGAGATATGTGATCTTTAAACTCACGTTTTCCTCTTTTCCTCTATCAGGTTTTGCAGCGGCTGATTAAATCTAGAGGAAAGTCACAAAGTAAACACTTGAATGTTCAGTTGGTGGCAGCTGATAAACTTGCACAATGCCCACCAGTAAGTACAGACGGAAGGCTAAAGAACTTGCGATACGTGGAGTTTTAAAAATGTCTGCCGTGTTGGTCCTTGATTATAACTGAGTTCACGTGTTATCACGTCACTTCATGGTGATACAGACAGCCCTGCAATTGCAATCCTAGATCAGCTTTTATTGCTAAGAAAGAAAAAGAAGTTTGGAGCCTTTATCCTAATTATCTGCCGACTAAGCTGGATTAATTGGCAAGATGTCAGGTCCAATATGACTCGCATAGTAAAACTGATCATCTAGCACGTGAGCAAAAATGTTCCTATTGCAACAGTTGTGGGAGCAGTGCTATGTTCAGGCAGGGTCCGGAAGGGCCAAAGCCTCAGACTCCCGCTTTGAGAGGAGGCTGCGGAGGCTTTTCTGTCAGCTGCCTCGTGAGCCTGGACCCACTGCCTGCACAGAATGAGGCCCGGGTGGCTTCGCTCACGTGACCCCTGGAGCCTCCCAGACTCCTGACATGGCAACACCTTTGAGCCGTTCCAGTAATCTCATTGGAGCTACTCGCTTATTGCAGGCTGTTTATCAAGGCTAGCGATTACTTGGTTTGAGAAGCGTGCTTCTTAAGGAGCAGGGGTCCTGAATAGATGATTAAGCAGGCAGGTGCTGTGCGGAAAAACATACAGGTGTTTGGGGAAGGCAGCTCAAAGTTGTTTTTATTTCTGAAAACTAGGCACAGCTTTTTTTTGTGACAGAGCAAGCCACTCAGTTTAAAAAAACTTGAATGCGGACTTTTACAACTTAACAGCTGTGCATAACAGTGATCTGGTAGTACAGAGGAGCCTGCTGCTCCTATCTGGGAAATTTGTCAGAAAATGCAGCCTGTGGCTTACCGTGTTGTCTGTCTTTGTCATAACAAAGAACTGCAAAGAGAAATCAGATTAGTTCACAGAATTTCAGAACAGACACCAGGAAGGATTCTGTGATGATACGATCTGATTTAAAATAGGCAAAGTGCTGTCAAAAGGAATATCTTGGAACGATCTAGGAACAAGTTTAAGAGATAAGCTCAGCAGAACGGATGCCCGACACTTAATGGTCAGATAATGCTTTTAAAAGACTTTGTTTTCCCTTATAAAGACCTTAAAGATAATGCTGATGTTTCAGGTGGCTTTTATGCTTGATTCAAATGAAAGTAATAAAGTTCTTTTGTTCTGGAATAACTTTTGTTTTTAACAGCTGTGTTTAACAGCTTTTGTTCTGGAATAACTACCCACAAGGGTTTATTTCCAAGAAACTAACCTGTAAGCAAATTAGAAATACTAATTTGCTTCTTAAGATACCAAAGTACACAGCCTCCTCCTCTCTTGTCCCCACTGGCCATAGCAGGGTAATTCAGATATTTCTGGGCACACTCCCCATGTGTATAACAAGAGATGTTCTTCCTTTCTACCTGCTCTGCCTGGTGGGAATGCAGACTGAGCCACGTCTCCTGGAGACCACAGTGCTCTGAGGTCCCTCGGACATCCCAGAGTCACCGCTGGTGGGAGCGGCCATGCTCCATCCAGCAGCCCTGTGGGAAATATGGGAAGTGAGATCTGGAAAGAACTTTCTCCTTTCGTTTGAATAGCCCTCTTGCCCACTGGTTGAGGTCCGTCAAGGTCAACACCTTTTAGGTTAATTCCTGCCATCAGGTGGACCTCATGTGGTCGCTGGCCAGTGAGTGGAGACTGCTAGACTTGCTGCATCATAGCTGTCCACCCTTCCTCAGCAGTGTTGCCTGTTTCTGCCTGCCATGAACATTTGGTCCTCCCTCTGTAGCCTTAATTCTGGGATTTAGCCATAGAGTGGGGTAATTCTGTGTGTATGGATCTGCTTCTGAAAAATACCATTTCAGGCTGACTGAAACTGCTAATGAATTCAGGTTATATTTACTCGGTAGTTTCAGCCAAATACAAACTGAGGAATAATTCATGTAGATATGTCACTTAATTTCAGCAGTTTGTGTAGTATTTTTGTGTATGTTCAGGCTAGAGTCACACTGAAATGTCAGGCAGCAGAGAAAAAAGATAATAGGCATGACTGAGATTTGTACTCCTTATCTAAAAATGGAATGCTTTAAAAAACACTTGTCCAGAACGGTAGAGATCTGCTGCAGATTCCTCCTTTGCCTGGTTCAGAGCAAGAATATAAATCACCTAGGAAAGCACCGTAAATATCAAGTAGGCCCTGGCGGGGGAGAGGGGTCTCCCTTTCTGCAGCTCCGGGTGCAGTGTTCGGGATGTGCCCGGCAGGTGGGGACGGAGCAGCCACCTCAGGAACTGGAGCCACCTCTCTCGCCTCAGCACTGTGTGCGGGTGGCCGGCTGTCAGGAGCGTGCTCTGTATATGTGTGTGTATGTACGAAAACACATACGTGTGTGTGTGTGTGTGTGTGTTCACAGCTATTTGCATTGCGGAGCCAGCATGAACATGACGTGTGCGGTGAGCCTAGTGCAGCTCTGAGTCATCGGAGTCCTTATGCGTGTCCTGGATGGCCCCCGCCCCCCTTTCTGTCCAGGTTTCCTACGTGGGAGCTCTCACAGTCGATGGATGCAGCGGCCTTGCGCTGCCTGGCAGAGACGTGGCTGTACGCTGCACGGCCTCAGGTTCCTGTGGGCGCGCTGCGGCCCTTTCCGCCCACGGCCTGAAACGTTAGAAACAGCCGTAACACGGGCAGGGTGTTAACGCGTGAAAGTGGGTAGGAATTGCCCGTCTTCCTGAGCAGAGTTGTTTCTCCCGTCTCTTCTGAAGACAGCATCTTTCTGTAAGCTTCTGGTTACAGTAACCGTAGAAGGCTTCGCTCACTGTCATCCTTGTTTTTCACTCTGAGCAGCGCTGAAAGGTTTTCAAGCCATCTCGGGTTCTTCTAGAGAAGTCGGCTATATTATGTTTCTCGCACATAATTTTCCACTGAATTGTATCTCTTAAAGCGAAGGTGGAGGATTCTTGTGAGCCATTCAGATCCCATTAACTGAAACGATATTGAATGTTTCTCTAGTATAAAATGTCTATAAAAGCATATACCTTTCTGAATCGTAGTGGGCGTCAGGCAAGTTAAAAGGAATCCCATCTGCACCTCTTTGAATACGGCTTGTGGTATTTACCCTGCGCTGTCGTTGCAGGCTTAGAGGCAGAACAACCTGCCTCATGTTCCTCGTACTCCAAAAGACGTATTTCTTTTTCCACCTGCGTAGAGAAGCCGGTGCATATTTCACAGCCTTATTTACTCTTTTATACAGTGCTTTCCTCTTACTCCGGTTCGGTTGGCTCAATCGCTTGTCATTCAGAACCTTGATTGTCCTTAACCAATCAGTACTTTTTTCAGCTATGGTTCAAATTATCTAGTAAAGCCTTCCCAGCAGTCAAACTGCATTGAAATCAAAGCTAAGACTTGCATTATTTTAGTATTAAAGTCATCAGGGCCTTACAGGAGTAAGTGTTCACTCTTGGGGGTAAACGTGCATTTTTGCTCTTGGTTGTCTTGCGGCAGTCACCGCAGTTGCGTTTCGCGCTCCGCACGTGGACTAACGCACCTGCAGTTTTCGGCAACGGCAATGTAGTAAAGCAGAGGAGGTAGCAGAGGACGACGACTGCTAACTTTATCTTCCTTAAAGAGATGGGAAAGATCTCTGTATTAATGTACATCACTTGAGTAATTCTAGTAAATTTAATTGCTTATATGATAAGTATTTTACACATCTAGTAAAAATATTGCAATGAGGTATAAATGCATTTCAAGGAGAACTGGGAAGGAATTGTTTCATTCCGTGATGCTTACAGCCAAGGATTCTTTTTATTTTATTTTTATTTTTTAACTCCTTCCTCCCAGATACACGGAATTGTAACAAATGCAGTTTAGCTATGAGCAGAACTCTTTAATACAAGGAAAAAATGTGTGATTTCTCTATAATTCATTTTTTTTGTAAAAAAAACAAAAAAACTGTAGAGCCCTGGAATCAAGATCCTGTCACTATTGCAGCTTTTCCAGGTGACCTTCAAATGACAGCCTGAGGAACTCACTGTTCCTAGCATTTTTTTTATAATTAACTGTTAAAAGATCTTCTTAATTTCAATTTAATTAAGATGGCTGTCAAAATACCACATGCGCAAGTTGCGTACTGTCACAGGCAGCTAGAGTTCTTGCCCTCAAATCAGTGGCCAGTTGCGCAAAGAATGAGAAGCCCAGGAAAACTGCTTACTACTCCCAGATCGGAAAATCACAGTACTGATTCTGCGAGTAAGAAAACGGTACGTTCCAAATATAAAATACTATTTTCAGTATTTTCCAAAGCAAAATATATGTAATATACTAACATTTCAATTCACGATTCTAACATTTCCTAACTTCACTATCTTTGACTAATTTATTTAGCAAATGACAGTGTGAGTTGCAGCTATATAATGGAATATGTAGTTTTATCAACATGAGTTTAAATAGCAAAGCAATGTGTATACTGTATAGATCAATAGATAGCAAGACAAGTAGCAGTAAACGTTGAATTCAACCCACATCACTCCAGAGGAGAGAGTTCCTATCCTAGAGACATCAGCTCTGTGTATACTGAGTAGATCTGTAAACATGCAGGGGGGAAAACCAGTCTGAGGTTCGTATCAGTTACTCCTAACACCTGCACCACCTGCACTGGCTTTTCATTTCCTGTGATATTTTCACAATAGTTTGTTTTTTTCCACTAAGATGAGAGTTAAGATTCAAGGTGCAAAATTTCAGTGCTGAAAATATGTTAATATTTTTCTTGAGGGGACTACATGTATGATGGTTCATTGAAAAGTAATTAATTTGGAAGAAGTGGGGGAATGTTTTATTTTAGTATGTACTTCTTAGAGTTTGTTACAGATGATACTGTAATGCAACACCAGTCTACTTGTGCTGATGACCTGAAAGCGCCGTCTGCAGTGTCCTTCTGACTTCCCGCGTAGCACAGAAGCCACGTGTCTCTAAAATCCTTTCGTGTCCACTAGTGCGTAGCCTCTCTGTGGGTTTAATGGTGAACAGGTCTGAGGCAGAGCACCTGGATCTGCACTAATGCTTAGCTACTCTCCCCTGGTGAAGAGATTACCAGGGGAAAAGAACATGCTTTCTTGATCTTGCGAATTTAAGAGGCATGAGACTATGCAGGTAGGCATAAATGAAGGCAGTTGTAAAAACTGTGCATGATCATAGTCTCAGCTGTAAATATATGCACAGCTGTTATGTCCTGCAGCAGTTTTGCCTAAGCAGACAAAATATTGCGTTCACGAGAGTAGAGATGTTTTTAGCGGCATGATTCAGTCTGGAACTCTATTCATAATCAGGACAAGAGAAACACGCATGAGTCTGCATCCAAAACCAAAGTAAAGCGTCCCTGTGTTATTCTAGCATCTAGTTTAACCTTTATCTTCTAGCATGTTTATTTTTTAAGCAAAATAAGTAACTTCATTAATGGAGTCCTGCACCTTTGGGTATGGTAGGCCTCATGCCGTGTCTCCTAGATCTCGCTGAAAGGCTTCTGTGACTTCTGAGAGCTTTGGCTTGTGATCGCTTTTGAAACCCAGTCACGTCACTTTCCTCTGCGGTCCTCGTGCTCCAATTACTATTTATTTCATTTTAAAGGATTAGCGTGATGAGAATTGTTAAACATTTCTCTCATCTGCAACGTTGTAATGAACCAAACTTTTGTTGTTGTGATCAGGAAATGTTTGATGTAATTTTGGATGAAAATCAGCTCGAAGATGCTTGTGAACACTTGGCAGAGTATCTTGAGGCGTACTGGCGTGCTACTCACACCACCAGTAGCACACCCATGACTCCTCTTCTTGGACGAAACTTAGGATCCACTGCGCTTTCACCATATCCTGCTGCAATCTCTGGATTACAGGTATGAAAACACATTTCAGCCCCAAACACCAATGCAGGTTGATTTTTTTTGTGTATGGGAAAGCAGTGTAACATGTTTCGTGTTTCATATTTACTTCATTAGTTATACTGTTCCCTGTTGGGCGACTGCCAGTAGTAAGAGCGCAAGCTAGAGCCCTGTAATCAATGCAGTCAGTCAACTGAGTGCTCCAGCACTTTTGACTGCTTTGGCTTTAATGGGAAATTAAATGGCCACAAATTTTCTAGCAAGGAGGGAGTTAGTTCTTGAGGAGGAGAAAAATGACACACTGTCAAATGGTATTATAGCCATACAAGAAAATAGCATTTTTTTTAATCTGGAAAGAATGTCTTTAGAAATGAAAGCCTTTCAGATGGAAAATAAGCCTATGCAATATGTCACAGCAGTTGAGCTAACAGTTACTTTACTTTAGTTAAGGACGCAGAACGGTTTCTATGATAATCCCATTTTTTGTCCTCCTAACTTCACAAAACATTCTCTTTGGGGTGAAAACTTCAGTGTTTGTCTTTCGTCTCAGCAAAATGCCTTCACCTTTTTGAGTTCTTTGAGTGTGAATAAAATCCATTTTTTACCCATTGAAAAAAATTCTGACCATTTTTTTTCACAGGGATAGCTCAAAAACGGCTGAACTTTGAAACTTCAAACGTGGCATGTAAATAGCCCTTAATGAGAAGTACGTGCTTTACTAAGTTTGAAAACAGAAAATGTTTTTGAAGTTACAGTTATGAATGTTTGAAAAGCTCAGGATTGCAGTGAACTTTCACATGAAGTCTGAAAGTTTCAGAAGGAGTTCTGTATGTGTGTGTGACTTCCGAGGAGAGTGCGCTTTCTAATGTATGTCGACAGCAGAGTTGAGCGAATTGCATTTAATGAATAATTCACCTGACAAATTTAACCTCTGTTCTGCTTATAGAATATCTGGATGCAGGTAATAATTTTGGAGGAAATTTTTCAGTGTCTTCAGTTAAATAATAAAGCTATTTTTGTGTGGGTGAATTGCACTTCACTGGAGGTGCATGATATTTGATAGTCACGTTTCTAATGATGTGCTTGATTTTACTAGGATCAGTAAGTCACTGTTTCCTGACTGGCTGAACACACAAGCACTGTTCTGTTACTGATAACATGCACATGTAAAATGTTGTTTTCATTTTCACTTGCCTTTAAAATTTCAGTTTTCCATCCCTTCATGACAATAAAATACCATCTGTAGACCTTTCACCTCTTCAGTTTCATTTTAAAAATTGGGTGTATCCACAGAATTTTTTTCAGGCATTTATTTATCTCTGATCAATGGACACCAGCAGTGACTGTGAAATGTTGCTCCATTTACTTAGGGAAAACTCACACTGAAGATGAAAATCACCCCTGTGCAGTGGGCTGGCTGAAGGTATGCATCACTTAATCCCCACTTCACCCTAATTGTGAAGACTTAGACGGGACTTGAATGGTGCTAGTTCTCTGCAGAGGGGTAAATTTCACGCTGAGTGAATGATGCCCAACTAAAGGCTGCAGGATTTGGCTCTCAGTGCCACTTAAGTGTTCAGGCCCATTTAAAGAGTTCCAGCGTTTTACACGGTTATCTCACATGTAAGACTTGCATCATCTGAACTGCTTATCCGCCTGAAGGATTTACTCGAATTCAAGCCTTTGGAAGGATTTGCATCAGTTTTAAGTGTAAGGATGTGATATGGTGATTAAAGCACTCATGCGAGTCCTAGGAATTAGACTAGCTTAGGTGCTTATGAGACAGTGCTGCCTATGACCTTACGACTCCTTTTTGCCTGTGGGGAAGAATTCAGTTCAGTCCTTGGGGAACGGAATATCAAAACCCGAGAGCCTTGTAACGCTAATAACTGTCCATATGTCACTTGATCAGGACTTGGGAGTATATCTATTTTTTAATTGATTGTGGCTTGAAGTTTTGTTTACTGAGAATTGAAACATGGTAGTTTAACTTAAATCTGTGGGCTTCGTGAAGGTCATCGGGGTGAAGTTAAACGGCACAGATAAAAATCAAAGTGGAAGGAAGGACGCTCACAACAGCGTGCCCCAGCTGCGTCCCGGCGCGCAGCGCGTGGTGCACCTGCCAGAGCCGGTGGTCGTTCGGTCTTTGGACACGCCTTTGCCTAGAAGGGCAAGGTGTCAACGTTCAGCTGTGTGTGTTTGCGGTCCCAGTAGGCAGTATAAAGTTTGTCATTGCTAACTTGTACGGGCTAGTGGTTAGCCCTTGTGGCTAATACCACAAAGTTTAGTCTAGTTCCAGCTAATAGACTTAAATCCTTTAGTTCACATATTGGGATATGTGTTTGTTAGGCTCCAAAGGACTTAGGTTTTCCTGAAGAGAGGGTAATATCGTTTACCGTTCAGGTTGTGCTGAACGATCTAAGGTGATTTTGTGCGTGACACCAACATGAAACCACACCAGTTTTGTTCCACACTTGCACGTTTCAGGAGGGGAGGAGTGAGCTCAGATTGACTCCCCGATCAAGGCAGTGAAACAGAAGGGTTTCTAGTAAAGAGCGGGTTGCTTTCATTGAGGTGAATTAGGGGCTAGGTAGAGGTGTGAGCACAGAAAGCTAAATGAGTTGCACATTGACTAAAATTGTGTGACTAGATCAAATATTTGAGAAGTATGATCTGTGAAGAAAATACGTGAACCGTAGCAATAGGAAAGAACTTCAGCCTACAATCAGTACTAAATCATGGTGCGCTAAGAAAAACTTAGGTATAGTGTGGTAGAAGGTGCTCCGCAGCGAGCTGGCGTGTGCGTCCGCAGGACAGCGCCTGTTCTCTCCTGGCTCTCCGTGTGGAATCGCTCGGGGAGTAACCTTGCCTTGCTAGTGTCCATCTACAGGAAGAGATGGGACATCCTATCTGCTGCGCTGTAAATCTATACCCTGACCAGTTACTTCCCCGTGCAGACAAGCCTTTTGTTATAAATTATGCAGTTAAAGAGTTGCCGTGCAGAAGGGGTGTAGCACTGTGAGGAAGGATCTGTAGCGTACAGGGCATCAGACAAAATTTCAGAGCTGGGAGGACCAGATGACACTGTCCGGGTGGACGCGAACCTGAGGCCACAAGAATGCACCCGCCTTCGTAGCCTCCTGTTATCCATTACTGGATCAGGACACCACCACTGGGTGTAAATCTTGAGAAAGAGAAGAATTGACTAAGTTTGTTCTGAGAATATGGATCCCTCTACCCTTGAGAGGTTTGATCTGTGGTAACAATAAACAGCATGTTGTTTTTCCTGCATAGGCTACTTCTCCATTGCAGCAATTTACTGGCAAAAACAGGAGATAATTTTGTTCGTGACAAATGTAACACATTATCATTATAGGAATGTGAGGATAGCAAAGGCTAAATCTTTTATTTAATAAATAATAAAGATCAACTTATCTGAAATATTATATTTTAGTTACAAGACTTTGTTAATATCTACTAATTTTAACCATCCCTCAGTTGCATGGTTAGCTGTCCATAATCTGCTGGTCATGTAAAGGTTTTTAAATGGGCTCAGAGAGCTGCACCTTAAAAAAACAAGAAAACCAAAAAAACCAAAAACCCAACATCAAAAAACGCTTCAGATATTTTCTAAACCCGCATAAGTCAATGATCAACATTTTCTAAGCAGAACAGAAGCATGAATGTTATGTTCGCGATCAGAGAAAAGTGATAAATGCTGAATATATCAGCTCACTTTTCATGCAGACTGGCCTGTAATATTTCACATGGTGAATGCCATAAGATGGGCATCATAATACTGTGTTTGGTCTCCTTTCAGCTCTAGGAACCAGACTATTCTTGTAACCCATTCCTGTAGCAAACAAATTTTAATATAAAATGAATTAAACAAAGGTGGATGGATTCTGAAAGACCTCAGAATAAGTCTCAAAGCTAGCTTAAAATAAATAAGATGCTTTTTATCTGTATTAATCCTTGGATTCTTTAACACTCGTAGAGCCAGCGTATGAGACATAGCAACCATTCTACAGAGAACTCGCCAATTGAACGACGAAGCCTAATGACCTCAGATGAAAATTATCACAATGAAAGGCCTGGGAAGAGCAGGAACCGCTTGTCTTCCAGTTCCCAGCACAGCCGAGATCACTATCCTCTAGTGGAAGAAGAATACTCTGACTCATACCAGGACACTTACAAACCCCATAGGACCCGAGGATCCCCTGGAGGATACAGCCATGACTCACGACATAGGCTTTGAGTTTAAGAACCTGGGGAAAAATAGTATTCATCAGTTGATAACTTGCCATAACGTAGCTAGGAAAAATAAATCATCTTAATTTGGCAGATGTAACATGGTTACACTGAAGTTACACTCTGCTGTCATTTGATGTCAAGTAGGGGGCAAAAAAAAGTTACCATGCCCTTATGTTTATGCCCAACCACTTAGGTTGTTTTTTTGTTGATTTTTGTTGATTTTCTTTTTTTTAGTACAGCATTTGCATCTATGGCCATACCTTTTTCTCATCACTAGATATTAGACTCATCAGTTTGTAATTTAGGGTACTTATCAAGGCACTTATAAAAAATTTCCTGTGCTGGAAATTCCAAATGACCAGTTCCAGTTGGAACCAATTTATAAACCAATTCCTGTTGGAATTTGGGTGAATTGACTGGAAAGTCGACTTGAGCATGTTGCAATCAATTTAAAAAAATGGAAATGAAAAATCTGAAAACTACCACTAGAAGCCAGAAAATCAGCTACAGTATTTGTTCGCTGGAAGCTAAATTTATATTTAAAGTTAAAATACAAGCATTTTGGTCTAACCACGTATTTCCAGAATGGCTTTTTCAGACAAACCGAATGTTAACTGTCTATCGTGCCAAATATCGCAAATTAATGCAGCAGTTACAGAATACTTTCCAGTTTAAAATTATTTTTAAATCTGGCATGAATGTTGCAGCAGAATGATTTTTTTAGTTTAGCCCATACTGACACTTTTGCTGTGGTTAGCAGCGATGAACTATGACAGGATAAGGGGAAACAGAAACAGGAAAATGAACAAACTCGAGGACAGTTTGTGTGATTAGAGTTGGAGAAGAGTCGTTTCTTTCTCTTGTTTACCTGAATACAGCTAGTAGTCCCAAAATAGAACATCAGTGTATAGAGATGTAATCTTTTTCCTCCCGTTTTTAATATTCTGCCCTTTTAAATGGAAAATAAGACACTCTCCTTACCCAGTGTATAGAGTACCTACATTCCAGTACATCTGAGTACCTATATGTTACATCTTTCAAAACCCATCTTTGAATGTCTGCAAACTCCAGCATCGCACAAGAATTCTCCAGAAGAACAGCTGTTTAAAATTTAGTGGATGAAATCTAAGGGTTTTTTTTTTTTAACATTTGGAAATGAGGAAAATTCAGAATAACATGTTGGTCAGAATTGGCTTGCAATAACAATAAGAGTATCAAAAAAAAATAACCCTGCTCACAGTAACTTTGTAGAGCTGACATTTTTAATTCAGAGAACTACGATAACTCTTTGGAGATATTGCTGCCTTACTTCCTAACAAAAACTTCTTTTCACCTACTGAGTCTTCAGTATTTTTAAAGAGATAAATTTATGTAATTGGACCTTATGTCTTACATTATCAATGAAGCCTTAGATCCAATGTGATTGAAAAAATTACCATAATTGACCATTTTATACGACCCATTGATGTATTTAAGCAGAGACTCCTAAAGTTCCGCACTGCATGCGTTTTCTAAAGTTGACTGAACTATGCTGAACATGCATTTTTTATGCAGGTTCATGTCAAAACTATTTTTTTGACAATGAGGATCATTAATTTTTGTATTTGCTTATTTTCTTCCCAAAGCCTACTAAAGTAGGCTCCAAAAGCATGTAGCAGTAAATCCATTTCCTGAGTATTATGAGGTCTTCTACTTTCTGGACCAATTTGCAAAGATCACTGATATTTTCCACCACTCTTGAGCCTGGTTATCTTCTTGAAGTTAACAACTAGAAAAATAACTCATCTCATATCTGGTACAACCAAAAGTAACGTACATCTCTAGCAGCGTTAGAAGATAGCGGATGCATGATTAGTTTTTTGAACAGCTACTGCCTAAAAGAAGGCCTTGAACATCACTGGATGATTCAAACGGGCCAGTTACCAAGATCAAAAATGTAACATATCTGCATCCAGTGGAGTAACAGAGTTAAGAATGGCTATGAAAGTCCTGATCCTGTTTGACTTTCTCAGGCTGAATTGCTGCTGATTCCAAAGAGCGTTTAGCCTGAGGAAGCACTGCAGGATCTGGTCTGGGAATGGTAGCTTAAGCTGTCTTCTCTGATATTTTCTGCTATAGCACAGTGGAGCGTTCTCCAGTAATTTTTACAAATATTTGTTACATGTACAGCACACATACCTGCATGAGAAAGAAGGCATTAGGCAAAACATTTTTTCTATAAGCTTTAATAAGTTTCTTGTTTGTGTGCATTAAAGTATTAATTGCAAAGGATGCACTGAGATGTATAAACCTAGATTAGACAACTGTTTATCTTTATTCTGTAGTAGCATTAGGGATCAGACCATTAACTGCTTGAAGATATTTGCATTTTAATGGCAGGTAGCTGCAAAGCACCTACATATATTTTCTAGTGAACAAGGTTACTGCTTTATCATTTCCTAGACAAAAAACGTCATTTATTCCTAGAGCCTTTTGGAGCCTTGTTTTTAAGTCTTCCATGTCATGCTAGTAAAAGGAAAGATGGACACAATACATATGCACAAATCCCATCAACTGCAGCGTCTGAAGTGCCAAAACTACTTTGTTCTAATAAAAACAAGCTTTTGAGGGAAGTCGTGCATCGTCTTGAGAGAACACGTTGAGTTCCTTTATTGTGTGGGCTTAAGTTTACTCTTTTATTTAGTTTACCCTCTTCTCCCCCACATCCATTCCATTTTGATGTAAGCGATCAGTTATAAAAGATCCAGCCGAACTCCCTGCTTGGTGTTTTTTTTTATTCTTTGAAGATAGTTATATCTTTAAGTATGAATATACCGAACAGGCTAATAGTTTGTTAATTTATTCTAGATACAAGCTATTGGAACTCTTTCATTTTAAAAATAATTTTTAGGAAACACAGTAATCAATAACAGTTGCAATGTTGATCAGGACATGTAAACTCATAGTATTTGTATTAGAACTTCAGCAATGCTAACCAGCTGTATTGTGATTTATTACGCGATGGCGCTATATGAAATCGTGAAGTTCATGTATTCCTGAATGAATACGAGTAAGACTAATTTTCCAGTTCTCATGCCATTTCTTGTTGTTGTAACAGAGCTCTGTTCCTAAGCTCTGGCTTATACAGAGGATTTTAGAAACGTTTATAAAATGTTGATGGGTTTTTGTTATCTGACTTTTTCATTAGGACGCTTTGGGATTAATGCTAATTTAGTCAATAAAGGTGACATGACAATCTTAATATCTACAGACAAGATACTTCAGTGCGTTCATATGTTTGTAAATGAATTAACAAAGTATTTTAAAAATCTTGAAGCTGCTTTAAAGACAGTTCATTGTTAACCTTTCTTTTTGGCTAGTTTGTATGTAAGAGATGTGCTGCGGGTTCTTTTAATAATTACATAGATAAACATTGATCCCATGGGACATACAACTCAAAAGTGGTTATGTTTTCTGCCTGAATATATTAAGAAATTAATTCTTAAAGGAACATAACTAAAGGTGTTTTATATCGAATTTTAGTTTACAAACAATGGGGCAATTACATAATCATTTTCTAAGCAGGTCTGATTGACAAAGATCAGTTTCTCTGCTTGAGAATTCATAGTATATAGTATGGCTCTACACCTAGATTTCCTCTTGAAAAATCATCTTAGCATGGCAATTAAGTGGTGCCCCAGGTTTTGTGCTCCATAAGCAAGAGTAGTTTCTGTAGCAAGCCCTATATCTCTTGCTGTTCACCTTATTTCTTAGTTACTGGGCATTGAGCCTGCTTCTGATTTCGCGTGCTTTGGACTTACTCTGGTGGCACCAGATACTTCCTGTGTACTTGAGATTGGAGATGGCTCTGTGCCTTCAGCAGACACTTTTCCAGTGATCGTACTGAGAATGCTAGTTTTAGTTTTGCAGCAAATAATAGAAAAATATTTTACTGTTTTTTTCCCCAGGTTTGAGAGCTCCTTCTGCAGTTGGTATCTGGGGTTTTCATCCTTCTAGGCTCCTTGCTTTTAAAATAATGTTTAATGAGTTCTTACAAGAGTAAAGATTCCAATTGGGGAAAGGTAGTTGCAAGCTGCTGGCGAGAGAGTGCTTTTGGCAGGTCTCTTCTGTGCGCCAGCTAGCGGCGGTGCCAGCTAGCGGGAGTTGCTCGAGATGCGTGCACGCCCCTAACTTGGGTTTCGTTTGACTCCAAGTCTTCTCTGAGTTCAATGCGGTCTCAATTCCATGGACTCCTCTGACCTTCCCAGAACCTCACATCTTTACGGACGTTACCGTTCTCAAAATAATATTGTTAACACTTACTGTTATTTTATAGTATACTACTTTGAGTACGTTAGGGCTTTCATCGGTCCATTACTTTCTTTAAGAATACCTCAAACATGTCCTCTGCTATATTTTGTTTTGTGAGTTCATTATTTATGAAGCCTGTCCTTGATTCCATGGTTTTCATTCTTTAAAGTAAAAATAATTAGTGACCATTAATGAAACAATCATCATATGCATATTGTGTAAAATACCACTTATACAAATCTGTCTTCTCTCCTAAAAATCTTTCTGTTAAAATTGGGTTATGTTGCCCCAACTGTTGTTAATATAAGTTTGGATACGTGGGGTTCTGCTATAACGTATTTTGTTGCAGCTACCTCTTACTCCTTCAAATAGTAGTTCTACTAAGAGTATCTGGACTGTATGATAATGTAATGTAGCCAGCTCAAACTCTGGAGAAATTAAATTCCCACTATCTTTAAAATGATGCCAAAAGAGAGTATATTATTTTAAGAGCAGTCATTTGAATAACATTTATTATATTGTTATTCAAGTCCAATTTATTTTATACAGAAATTAAAGGTACGTCTTTAAAAATAAAGGTACATTTTAATAATGTTGTAGAAAATACACATGTAAGGAATTAACTTGGATAAGGAGCTATAAATGCTACTTAGTATCAAAATTTTTGTTAGGCTGGAGAGAAAAAAAGTCTTTTTCCTGACTTGTGAAATCCATTTAACAAGTCAAGAGAAATACTCTAATTGAATCCATATAGAAAGTTTGAAGAGAAGGTAGAAATGATTTAAAAACGTTAATAAGGCTGTACCATTCCTCTTGTGCTTCACAGCTAATTCCTTTGAAAGTGGTGAAGCTGGAAGTAACGTTGACTTGGTCTCAGTGATGTTTAGGAGACTTGCCCTTTCCCTTCACATTTCTTAGCGGTGAGCTACTGTCTCGATTCTCTCTAGAACTCGATCCTACAAACAACTACTACTGGACACAGTGTTTATTACTGTCTTGTCTGGAAGTCAGAATGTGCAATGTCTGACCGTAAATACCACATACCGCTTATCATATGCCTTACAAATATTTCCTGAAAAATCAAAAATTATTGCCACAGTCCCCTTTGATAATACTTCTACTCTGTATAAGCAGTAGAAAATGAATATAGTAAGAAAATATACTGTACAGTACAAAATGATATATTTTGCCAATGAGATGAAAACAGAGCAAGGAAAAAAAGCACATTTATAATAGCACAAATTTACAAGAATTCCAATATTACATTTGGCATTGTATTTTTGAAAAAAATAGGTGGATTTTTTGATTCAGTGTCAATGGATTTATTGCATTTTCCATCAGATTAAATTGCTGCCTGATACTTCCAACAGTTTATTTCTAAGCCTTGCATTTTGCGTCTCTGACTTGAGTTTTCAATAACTTGTATTCCTTCCGTGTTAATGAAAAATGATTTTTTAAAAATTAGTCCCTGCGTTCATTTCTTGTAATTTCCTCCTCAAAATTGAAATTACATGAATATAAACAAACTTCAGATTATGGCCAATGTATAGATTTTGGCATATGACTGATGAATAGACCAGTACTGTTTGTAGCCCAAGGTCTGGAATGAAATACTCCCGATAAGTAAGTTCTTGGGATTGTAATGCTATTTGCCTTTGTGTATCAGGGGAGAGCGGGGGAAAAAAGATATTACATTATAAGACCTGTGAAAGAGTCCACCCAAAATTTCCAATGACATTGCTGGAAATTTAAAATATAAAAAGAAAGTAAGCTTACAGAAGAAAGCATGCCCAGACCCAAAATGCGTTTACCTTTGAAACAGGCCTGGTTCTCCTCTAATACACACAAGATAAAGTCAGTGAAATCGTACAAGGATAGCATAGAATCAAGTGAAATACAATTTTATGTATGCACAAGATATAAAATGTTAGAGTAATAAGATGAAAGGAGTCATTCAAACCGAACCATGGACCTTGGGCTTTTCAGTTCCCAGAAAATCTGTTTCTCAGCCAAACTAGTTCCCAGTGATAGCTTGACGGTGTCATCACTTGGAGCCAGTTCAGACTCACTATGGTAAAGACATTATTGCCTTTACTAAAAAAAAAGGGGAAAAATGTATGTTTTCTTCTTTGTTGATTTGCCCCTTTCTGTTCCTACTTCTATAGATACTGTATGTGTAGCATTCTACAAGGCATGGGTAAACTATACTATGCAAATGTGTACAGTGTTGCATGCTTTGCTCTCCCTCTGCTTTAGTGGCTTTCAAAGAAAAAAAAAAAAAAGTGTTGTTATTTTTGTGACCAGAATCATTTAAAAAAGAAAATGCAGACTGCATGCTTGTAGTATCCTCATTTCTATGGATTTGTTTTATGGAATTTAGATGTACAAAAATGAACTGCATTACAATAACTTTTCTACAATAAATCACAAACTATACAAACAGTGGTTAAAAGTCTTTTTTAAGTCTCTTGTTGTACTCTGCACTCAAAAGATTGGAAAAATGCTCAGAAGAGTCAATTAAGAACAAAATGGTGCAGGGTTTTTTTATTGTTTGGAGATAGATAGCTTTTGGCAGCAGCTTAATATGTTAACATTTTGTAGTTAAAATTAATGAGATTGTAAGAGATGCATCTGGTCTGTGGAATGAATGACATTTATTTTTAGAGCTGTCTGCTCTAAATTGTTGCAAAGCAAAAGTACAGAAATACGTATTATAATTCGCTATTCCATCAATAAGTAAAATACTTTCAGCCAACTGAAATCAATGGAGTCTCATGGATGTTAATGGCTTTTGGATCAGATCCTCAGTATGATCTTTTATTAATTTAAAACCTGCTCCTAGAAGCAAGCATCAAAATAATGTGAAGTATTAAGGAATGAAGGAATAGTTAAACCAAGTACTTTTTACACTATCTTGAAAACAAGAGAAGGCTGAAAGGTACTACCTTGAGCTAAATCCAAAGAGCAGTCTTCAGAGTGAAATTACAGGTTAAGTTCCTGTATGGAGTTTGCTCCACAGTGATGCAAAGAGGCTTTTTTTTTCTCAAAGCGAACCCACGACCTAACAAAAAGGCTGCGATCATCCAAAAAGCGTGAGAACGCCGTGCTGGGGACCAAACCAGCTATATGGAAGCACAGATTTGTAGTAAGCACCACCAGACTAGCACAAAAGTGTGGCCATTTGGTCTCCCTTCCGCCGCTTCTCCCTCCAGCAGCCTTTCTCCTCAGGTTGCTGCCAGGTGCTGCCAGCAGCAGCTCGGGCACAGTTCACCGCACTGGGCATGCCCCTCGCATCGCAGCTCTCCTGGTGAGCCGGGGCGGCCGGGATAACCAGTTCCACAGTATGCTTCGCTAGTGCTTCTGCCGGCCCCCTTCTAAAGACAGCAAGACATGTTATCAGGTAAGCTGCATCTTACATATGAATTAGCTTTTGCCTTTACATTTCTAAAGGACATGCAAAGTTTTTTTCAAATTTATTTAATTCAATTAGCTTGACTAAGCGTTCAAAATGAGATATAAAGCATGTGAGTTATAATCTAAGCTGTTTAAATAAAGTTCTTAAGATCTTCCAAACAAATAGAGACAAAATATATTATTTTGTGTGTTTTCATATGATCTTAGAAGTTAAAAGTTTATTAGGCCACTTATCTTGTCTATCTTCTCTACATGTTTGGATCTCTTCTATATAGAATTATTTGCCCCTCCACTGATGAAATCTTACCACAGGGAGACTGCGCAGTTCTGCCGCACAGGAATACCTGAAACGACCCACAGTCTGCCTCACGGTCACTCGGAACAAGGCTTTTACAACTTCCAAGAGGAAACCGTGTCATTTGCTACAAACCACACCGATTTAAGTATTTTCTTAGTATCCACCAGCAATGGCAAGTCTGACATTAGCGTTACCAGGTTAAAAAAAAGGCAGCCCAGTAAACATTAAACCAAGCCATAGTTCAAATGCTCTTAAACCATGATTTAGCTACCAGTAGGAAGCCATAGGTGAAATCTTAACCATACTTTCCGAGTCCTAAAATACACTATATATTCATCCTGTAAAAATGTAAATCCATTTTTGCAACTGTTGTGTACATGCAAGCCTTTGATAGTTGCAGGATGGTACATGGCAGAATGGAGGAGCATTGGCAGCAGCAAATACACAATCTTGCACAGTCTGATTTGGCTCCAACAAGTGCTGGCCCAGGTTCTAAGAGGAAAAGTACGTAGCAAAAAAATCAATGCTCTTCTATTTAAAGATTTGAAATAAATGGTTTAACTGTATTTTGCTACCCCCTCCTGTAGCTGGGCAACTTCTGTCACACCCACGTAAATCTGGAATGAGCCCACAGACTTCAGCAGAATTGCTCTGTGTTTACACTAGGGGAACAGAGAATAGAAATCTATCATATACATCTGAATTTTTCAGTGGAAGTATAGCAGAAAGGGAGATAATTGTAGGCTAATGAGTAATTCCATTTCAGGCTGAATGCTGACCTTGTGGAAAGTGTATCATGCTGGAGGGCTTATTTGCCTGCCAATTACACATCCCATCCTAGCGAGTGGAGCTCTAACATGGGGAATTACGTTCTTGCTGGATACCTCAATTTCCCTTTTGCATTACCTGACTCCTATGAAGCCACTGCACTCAGCTATTAGGCCTCCTTGCTTGTCCTAACAGAATAAATGAATCTGGGTAATATAAGCAACAGAACACTATGGAAGTATATTTGAGCATCGCATTTACATATGTGAAAGCATTTCTGTTTTTCCAAAGACATGCTGTTTGTCATGTTTGGGGATAAAAATTGACAAAAAAACAAGGACAGTACGTTACATCTAGTTGTCTTCAGCCTGAATGACTACAGGTGTGTTGCTAGCATAGTGATTTATTTTTACATGATTTATTTTTATCCTATCAGACTACACTTATAGCATGCCAGTTTATTATCAGGATGTTTATTTTCTTCAACTATTAAGAACCATATATTCCCCGTCACTGCAACAAAAAGCATGGACGCCTGCACAAGCAGACAGAAATTCAGAGATGACTACTGCCCTTGCTGCTTCAGCTATGGGCCAATAGTGCACAAGCCAAAAATATAAAATAAAAAGCAAGAAGCCACAGTCAGAATAGAAGCTTGTAGCAGGAAAGGGTCTAGAAGCAAAAAATTATCTTTAATCCAAAATGAGAAAGGAGTCTGTTATATGGGAAGAGGACTAGACACCGTGATGAAAGATGAAAGAATACCAGACAGCAAGCACACAAGCTAGAACTGGAACTCTGCAAGGAGGCGTACCAGACGGCAAAGGAACAGGTGAAAAACGGAGCAAGAGATAAGCATATATGTATACAGGAAAAAGAGAGGCCATGATGCAGGTGAGAGGACAATATGGAATGAGGCATGAAGGCCAACACCATGTATTTTAAGTGACAAAAACAGTTCTTCTGCATAATACTGTAAATTATGAAAAGAAGCATATCCGGAGTGCTTGAAGACTTTAAATTCTTCAGGTAGCCTCTCTATCCCAAATAAACAGGGATGGAGTACATCCCCATAGTTGGCTGAACTGGCATCTGACCAAACATTCAAACTTAGAGAAAGACAATCTGAATACTATGGTGACAGATAAAGCTGTAATATTTTTAAGTTCAGAGAAAGACTGGGAGAATGTGTATACAACTTAAAAAACAAACTTTCCACCAGTTTCACTTCTTTACACTATCTATCTCATCTCTGCCAGGAAGCTAGCAAATTCAGCTTACTTCTTCAGCGAACTGCAGGCCTGTTCTTTCTTTACCATGCCTACTAGCGTTGTTTAAACAAAGATGCTTACATCTAAAAGCTGGGGAATCTAGCTGAAGCTCACTAGAAAATATTTTAACAAGTATGAATTCTAACGCTGCAAATGCCCTTGTGCTTGAATTTGCATCTGTCATTAGTCTCTCTGAAAGAAAAACCATGACTGACCTATGTAAAATTAAGCATTTGCACGACAGTTTACAAGTGCAAAGGCCTCGAGGCTAAAATCTAAAGGTGCTAGGCATTAAAGGTACTAGACAATTTAGAGATGACAAAAGGAAAAGAGTACGACATTTGTCTGTTTGTGCTTTCTATAATAAATAATTTCTTGGACAAGAGAGATGAGGGTGTAAGTCCTGCTTGCCTTGTCACTAGCCTATTACACAGAGATGCGGATAGCCTATTTATTGGTTGTTCTCTCAAAGAAAGTAGCCTGTGCTACTGCTGTACATTGCATGGAGCCCAAGCTCACAGATGTTCTCTGAAAACACTTCTGGTTTGAATTTCTCTGAAGAGACAAGCAGAAGAGTTCATAGTTTCTGAATCCTACCTCTGGCAACATTTAGTTGCTTAGCTCTCTTGAGACAGTAGCATGCTTGTACAAACAGCGTAATTTATCTTTAGACTATCTGGGTACCTTAAAGTAAAAAATAAGTAAATAAATGAGGCTATAGAGTTTTTATTCACCTACAACACCAGGCAACAGCTCAGCAGTGACTTTCAGAACTGTGGTCTTGGATGGAAGGACCTAAATTCCAGCTCAGTTTTACTTAAGTTGCCCAAGTCCCCCCCGTTTTTGGAGTCTGACCCAAGTGTCTTCTGCACCAGGAGCTGCAGAGAGGCAATCTAAGTCGTGGCCTAAGACCTACGGTTTGCTCACACATCCACGTTACTGCATTCCTTAAGTGGCATGATGAATACCAACAGCAATGGAGAGCTCTGTTCATCGTGGTACGAGAAGCACCAAGCGTGCAAGTAGCTCCCACCTGTCGGTAACCAAACCTGCAGTTTCCAACACCGAGCTTCAGTGGATGATGTTCTGCAGAGCAAGCAACATACTATTGAGAAATCGGTTAGAACCGTTAGCTGGGTCCCTAGAAATCGCTGGGGTCTTTTTAATGGTATTTTAAAACAAGACGTTCCTGATATTGGTCCTTTTAGCATTTATGACTGAAAGCTTTCCCCACCGCAGTAATTATGAGATGTATTTGCTCGAGTTATAACTGAGATCGCCGTGTAATCCCTTGATCGCAGGCGGTGGGGCCTCAAGGATGACACCGAACCCCCTCTTGGATAAAACGCAGGGGGAAGGCGGGCAGTGACCGAGCCCTCCAGAGCCTCGGGAAACGACCGCCGTCTCCCTGCGGTGCCTCACACGCCTCCGCGCTTCGCTGCCCCTCCACGCTGTCGCCTCATACCGTAACCCCGTCAAGGGACGGCTCCGTCCGGCCTATGGCTGAGCGGCCTGCGGAAGACCG